GAAAATGGCTCCAACACTGGTAAAACCTAGGTAGTAAAAACTCGTCAAAGGTTGTTCATAAAGCTGATCTTTAACCCCAATATTAAACCTAATAAGGTCTCTATTTCAATATACATGCATCCGGAAATCTACTTAAGGATAGCATGTTGTTTGTACACACCTGACTTTAAACGCAGCTGCTGGTATTTGGGGCGTGGTCTATTCCACAGGTGTGTGAGGAAGAGAGGTCGTTTCAGGTGTGTCAGCACTCTCTGTGCTCGCGACGACACAGGAAGAGCCACTGACGTTTAACGACCGTAAATATACTCTTTTTACAGTTACTAATTTACGGATTCCTGACTTTGCAACACTTGGGAAAAAGGAACAACTTATCGAAGCACAAACGGGGAGTTGTGTTGGATCTTTTTTTTGGAGGATGCATTCCGCCAGATATGAATACGACGTAAGTTTGGGTCAACTTTTCGTCACGAAGACGCATACAGTTTTAACCACACACACAAAGTGTGTTTGCTTGGGGCCTAGATGCCTGCCAGTCTGTTGTCTTTAGGAGTTATGTGTATGTTTACACATTTCGGGCTTATTATAGTAACAGACATTTTAAACCTTTGCACCGTTGGCTTTTGACAGGGTTTCTGTATATGTTCATCAAAGTGTTTCTGGGCCTCTCATCTCCACTGACACTAGAATGGAGTTTCCCCTCTGTTATTGATGTTTGAATGAAAGATTACACTACTTGAGTATAAATGTCCTCTGCGGTGTTTGTTGGCAGTGTTTATTTACACATAGCAGAAAATAAATAGGCATTTCAAAAAATAATATCTAATACTCTAAATTGAATATGAAATAATGGTTGGAAATGTGGGAATTAAGTTATCCATACTGCAGAATCCCTTTTTTCCCCCACTCTCCAGTCACAAAGGTTATGTGAAGTCAGATGAAATAAGTGAAAATGGGGTCATCAGACTTTGATGGCACATTGATATTTACCTTATTAAAGGATAAGTGTTCATTTTAAAGGGGAACTTGGCAACTTTTTCAGCTTAATAAACCCGTTTAGAAATCATTTGGATGGTTAAATGGCCTGTTCCGGTGAAAATGGGCACCC